ACAGGTGGTTTTATCAAGTTTTAATTAGTATTCAATTGTATCGGAAGTGTTTGAGAACCTATGTAAATATATACGCTATAGTGACCCCGATATCATGCTAAATGTCATTGACTTGATGTAGTGTCCGTAAACCGTCGTAAAACAACCCTACCAAACATACCAGTCTGAAGCCCGAGCCACGAACAACCCACTAGTCACGAGTGAAGTGCAAAGGTGCGCCAATATACCGATTAGGAATTCCACATTAAAAGGATTTTTATAATAATAATATGCGTCGTTAAGGTATATTTGCATCATAAGAGGAACAAGACAGCGATGGGTTTTTTATATTTTAGTATATAAGCTTTTTCAAATTACAGGTCAGCAGAATTAAAAATATTCTGTCCTGTCGCTCAGAAGTAAGGTGTATCTAAGGAAGTAGCCAATGTTTGTGTCTACGAGCACTACACTGACACCTCGTGAATACTTTATAACATTGATAATGTCAGTCAGGTCTGAATTCCAATATGAACATTAAACTGAGCAGGTGTCACATATCTAGTCTATGGAAGCAGGTCAGAAACATTATCACTATGTGTAATAAATCGCGTTAACAGACTGTAATCGGATTTAAATTTTACATTTTACATTCATTAAATTCTAAAATCGTACTATGGAAATGTATGATACATTCTTTAGCGGGGTGTGGCGATACCTTTTATAGCTTTTTTACACTAAAAATCACAGTCGACTGTTTATGTGTTTACACGTCGAATCAATACGTATCTTATATATATACATAAATAAAATACCTGTTCCGAAAAATGCCATTGTAAGATGTTAATGGATGCTGTTTCATACTCACCAACATGTATTGAGAATTACATTCCTTGGCATACCTACTAACATTCACCTGTCTTTATCCTTATTATCAATATCAGTTGTGTTGTCTTAATCGATTGCTGATGAATGAAAATAGTCATCATTTAGGTCACAAAATGCTTGTCGGGCTATATGAACAAGGATTGTAAAGAGCTGAAGTTTGTATTAACAATTTAGCGATAATTATCTTTAATTATATGATGGTTAGCCTTATGTAACTTTCGTTTATTGGTATACTTAAGGTACAATAGACTGGCATTTGGCCTTCCACCGGATCAACAAAAAAAAATCACTGACCACATTTGGAGAGTTTTATATACCTGTTGACTAACACTGGATATAGAAAATTAACAGCATAGTAATGTCAGCTAAAGATAAAATTATAGGACAATGAAAAATATTGACTTATAATGGCTCAAAACATTTTAAGATTGACAAACTTTATTTTTGAATATAGATTATAAATAAATTTGAGTAATGATAATAGTTTTTATCAAACCTCTTATCATTGAACGTTTTATTTAGTAGGCATACACAAAAAGTGGTCCATTCACATACACTTACACCAATCAGTTCCGGTAATGTACTGTTTTCCATGACAAACTTGTACACAAGTAGATAACACCTATTTATTAGAATCAGATACGGTAGAAGCAATGCTGAATAAGACTTAGGAATAACATACACAGAAAGTATCTTTGTCTCCTTTGTCCTTTTTTCTTTTATTTTTACATTTCTTTTTGAAAATATTGAAAGTCCATTGAATAATAAGCTAATTTTTACGTGACATTTGAACAAGGACATTTTTAATCACTTTGTATCCATTTGTGTTTATGCACCACTTATTATACATATGATTTTGGTAAGATAAATTTACAATTGTGTTCATACTTTGACCACGAAACACGTGTGATTTATCCTGTAACAGTTGTGAACATCACTAATCTTTATGTTTTGCACGCGCATATCCCATTAACATTAAAAAGACATGGAAGTCGCCATGATATATCTGTAACAGGTGTGTACGATCTGCACGAGATGAGGTAAATATTGAGTTTGTAACAGGTGTGTACGATCTGCACGAGATGAGGTAAATATTGAGTTTGTAACAGGTGTGTACGATCTGCACGAGATGAGTTAAATATTGAGTTTGTAACAGGTGTGTACGATCTGTACGAGATGAGGTAAATATTGAGTTGGTAACAGATGAGTACTATCTGCACGAGATGAGGTAAATATTGAGTTAGTAACAGGTGTGTACGATCTGCACGAGATGAGTTAAATATTGAGTTTGTAACAGGTGTGTACGATCTGCACGAGATGAGTTAAATATTGAGTTTGTAACAGGTGTGTACGATCTGCACGAGATGTGGTAAATATTGAGTTAGTAACAGGTGTGTACGATCTGCACGAGATGAGTTAAATATTGAGTTTGTAACAGGTGTGTACGATCTGCACGAGATGAGGTAAATATTGAGTTTGTAACAGGTGTGTACGATCTGCACGAGATGAGGTAAATATTGAGTTAGCAACAGGTGTGTACGATCTGTACGAGATGAGGTAAATATTGAGTTTGTAACAGGTGTGTACGATCTGCACGAGATGAGGTAAATATTGAGTTAGTAACAGGTGTGTACGATCTGCACGAGATGAGGTAAATATTGAGTTTGTAACAGGTGTGTACGATCTGCACGAGATGAGGTAAATATTGAGTTTGTAACAGGTGTGTACGATCTGCACGATCTGTCAGTCATGTTGGCTTCCATTTCTGTTGAACTTATGACGTCACGAGTAGAAGCGCCTCGATTCCGCGGAAATGACGATTACGCTGATTAGGTCTGAGAAGACAGGTGAAAATTGACAACTTTGAGCTTCAATAACTCGACACTGGGGCGAAGGATTTTGACGGGGTTTTCGTTATTATTATTTATACGGCATTCTTAACATTATATCTAAATATAAAATTACACTCAGGGTACACTTTAAATAATAGTTATATATATATGCATATACATATATATGTATACAACTTCGTTACTTCAAATCTAAGTCAAATAAAATGATCCATTTGTACAATATGGAGAGCAATGTAGTTTATTATCCAGACAGTTCAGCCGGATGCCAAAAAGCCTTTATAAGGAGCGCAAACCAATTTTTAGTTTGATTTAGAGATTTGTAACTGATACCAGATGTATTTTAAAATCTTATTCTGAAAATATTGTTATTCGGTAGTTAGTCATCGGATTCGATACACGAGGGTGAATGTTGATGGACAATTTGTGTCGTACCTCATTCAAGATGACTTCCTGACTGATTCTTGTAGCAATTACTTAATATTCGTGTAATCACCAATATTGTAACAAACAATTCATTTATCAGTATCATTTATATTCCTTTGTCTGTTGCCTTATTTTATTTATCGATAAGATCATGACAAATATTCTGAAATAAAGTAATAATTGGTCAAAAATTAGTGAAAATCATAACTTTTTTTTTCACTTTCTAGTAATTTTACCAAAATCCTTATATGTCCTTGGGAAAAATTATAATAAAAGCTGATATTGTTAGTGTTAGTATATAACATATAAACATATATGTAGAATCTAGAAAGTAGTATCGACGGTATGGTCCAATACTGGTACTGATTCCTAACAAATAAATGTTCGTTGGATGTGTATTACTGGGATAGATATATGATGAATGACCATTTGACCATATTCAAAATTAATTATTTGTGTGTTTAACTGGTGTTTTTATCAAACTTCTTTTTATTGTAACTACATATACATTTAACATTTTTGTACAAGAAATTTTGTTATTTTGATCAAACAATTCCTCGTGTGGTAGAGATGTAACGGTTGACTGCTTTCCTCGCAGCGGTATGTGCAATAGTTTTCGTTGCAATCACATACATGCTCAGTGTCTAGAGTGCAAAACATACCTAGATTTATGTAAATCATTTTTGATATTGTAATCACCATCTTACATACAACAACTTGGGATGATTTTTTTTATTCGCTATAAAGGGCCTTGGTCGTCCATTTACACTACCCACACACTTATTCTCCACACACCCTCATATACACATACCCACACCTATCCAAACATATCCCCCTACTTATATATACTCCACACACATCCACACGCATACCATCACATAACCTCCACCACCACCCCATATACATATTCACACATACATCCTTCCAGACACCATAATATACCCCAACACACATTCCCCTCATATTACCACACGCACATTCCCCCCACACACACAAAACCCAAGAAAGCATGGATAATATTGGCATGTTAACAGAAGTTAAATCAAAATTTCTAATAGATTTAAAATGGTAAGATGTGAACATTAGAACGATGTAGGCGTTGACCTTTGAAAAAAAAAGCAAAAATAATATGTTTCGGACACCCGCATATAAAGTTTAACAATTCCAGTACGTTATGTCGCCGGAATAATGTGTGCAACAGCGAAAGCTCACATGAATTCCTGAAGACAATCAAATACATTTAACATTCTATCACACAAGGAAATATGATTTTGTCTTTAGTATCCATGAAACTGCATCTCTTGAAATCCTGTGTTTTAAGTTTAAGAAGTCGTGATGTTGGGATTAAACCATTTAATATGGAATTAACTGCGACTTGTAAACAGCGTATTTTGGTTTGTTACTATCTAGAAAGGGTAAGAAACTATATGGAAAACGAATCCTCTAACTTAACATAAAGCTTTTTGACACAACTGTTCCTACTGATATCATGTATGTAGAAGATTCTGATGTGACTTTGATGCCGATTCTGGTAGATTGATAAGGACGTGATCAATAAATCTCTTGTTATTTGACGACAACATCAATATGTAAAGGCGAAATTTAAGGTCTTGGATCAGCCTTTTGAATCTGCTTAGATACGTTTTTCTACGAATACTGCAATGTAAGAAATAAAAACAAAGAAGGTGCACAATTAGTTCTCTTGAGTATGCCTGTAATCTGTTGGAAGATCTTACCACCACATTTAACATAGCCGTTGTCTCGCAGAAACTTGAGGTTGCTACTTTATTGTTTGGTTTGATTGAAGTTCGTGTAATTTTTGTGATCAAGTTTTCAACGTTAGCTTTTTCACCTACACAGGTACAATGGTTACAAAATGGCGGACGTTGTGGAGTGTGCGGGGACCCGGCCTCTGGTCCACAGCAACACGATGACAACGGTCACTACGCTAGCGGTATCACAGTCCGGTCCTACAATCAAGGAGGTTCCGTAAACGTCACAGTCGAGGTGCTAAGTAATCTACTAGGTTATTTTGAATTTCGACTTTGTCCTCGTAATAGTACCAGCTTCAAACTAACACAGGAGTGTTTCGAGCAAAACGTGTTGTGGATTGAGGAGTCTTGGAGTACTCGGTTCTACGTGGGCAGTCGTGGCGGCATCTATGATCTCCACGTGAAGTTACCCTCCAATATTGCCTGTAGCCATTGTGTGTTTCAGTGGAAATACAGTACAGGTAAACATTCACACTTATATCTCTCATTACATTCAACGAAGAAAGTTAGTTAATAGTTTGTGGAACTCACAATAATGGAATTGTCTGATATACTTATCATTTAATTCATGCTGTTTCAGGATTTTTACAAATGAGATGAAAATAATTGTGTTCTTAGTGATTATAACTCAACCCCTCATGAAATCACACATCAAATAGGTTAAACGCCACAAACGTTTTGTTCATGAGCACATAAAAAACATTATCGTATGATGTAATAATGCAAAAGTGATTATATCATTGGCCGTACTTAGAATATTAATGTCTTATTGTCTTAACATAATAGTTATTATAAAACACATATTAAAAGTTAAGATAGATCTTTTATCAAGAAATCATGACAAACATCACTAATACTGAAACGTAATAAATAAACATACAAAACATTGTAAAACACACCAATTGATAAGTAGAGAGCATTGTATTGAAGACGTTAAGCAGGGTTGTCCTTTTCAGCTCTGTTTTCTGGCTATTTAAGGCTGTTACACGAAGACTGGTGTCATTTGGTCAGTTAATGTCGAAGAGGTAGCACTTGTAAGTAAAACAAGGCAAGTGAATTTTGCAGAATGGACAAAACCGCTGAAAAAGCAGTGATTCAGTATTACATTAGAAAGGTATACCACCTCAGGATATCCAGGCTGATATAGTAGCAACACTAAGGAATGATACCCCTTCATATGCTATAATGAATAGGTGGGTGGCGGAATTTATGCCCATCTTTGTTACAACTCCAAAAATGGTCAATAAAGTCCAAAGTCCATGATTTGTTCATATGGCTGACTTGCGAGTTACAGAGAGATATATAGCCAGTACAGTTTGCATTTCACAGATAAGAGTACATTCGATTCTTACTGAAGAGATCTTGCAGTGAGAAAGCTCTCAGTCCGTCGGGTACCAAGACTTCTGACAGTTAATTTTTTAACTTTTTAGAGGCAGATCATATTAACATTCTACAGAAGTTGATGGTTATGGTGAAATATCGGTCGATCGTTTCACCCCAGATGCCTAACAAAACAACAGTCTAAACAATGGAAGCACTTTTTTCATCCCCGCCACAAAAAGCAAAGACTGATCCATCATCTGGAAAGTTTATGGCCTCGGTTTTCTTGGATGCTGATGGTATTCTAATCGCAGATTATCTGCAAAATGGGCAAACAACCAATGACACATATTATGCATCACTTCTTAGGTAGATAAAAGAAAATATTAAACTTAGGCTCGGAAGAAAACTCAGTAAAAGTGTGTTGTTACACCAGGACAATGACCCTGTTCACAAGTCTCTCATTGCCAAGGCTGCCAGTAACGATTGTGGCTTTGAATTGATTGAGCATCCGCCTTATTCACCTGATCTCGCGCCATCATATTTTCATCTATTTACAATGTGAAAATGTCATTTCCAGTACCAATTTTCGGTCGGATGATAACATCATACATATAGTTGGGGACTTTCTAAGTGGTCAAGAAAATGACCTCTACAAAAGTGGCATTGGGGCCCTTAAAGATCGCTTGCAAAAGTGTATGATACTGAAGGGGATTCTGTTGAAAAATAATGTAATATGTCCGCCAAAAGTCAAACGTTTTAATATGAAACTCAGACCTTATCTATCAGCCCTCATAAGTTATCATTTCTAACACAGAATAATATTACACATAACACCGGTTCCCCTAAAATAATTTATTTCTAACACCCAAAATATAACAAAACACACCGGTTCGATAAAATGATAAATCTTTTCTATTGAACAAGACATAACAAAACATAGATGCCCACAAGAGTACCTAAATAGAAACTATCACAAAGCACACATCAGTGTATTGACAAGACGATATATGCCAATATACACTTACAAAAAACGATGTCAGTATATTCGCTGTATATATCGCTGATATATGAAAATGACGCAATTTATATAAAAACATTACTGCTGCACCTCACCGTCGATTACTTTGGATTTTCCTCAGTCGCTTCCTACTGATCAAAACTTACACTCTTAGCATCACTGATGACTCCTAAAAGGACGAAACAACTGTATGATTTAGCATCACTGACGACTCCTAGAAGGGCAAAACAGTTGTATGATGTAGCATCACTGACGACTCCTAGAAGGACGAAACAACTGTATGATGTTGCATCACTGAACGTCTTAGAAGGGCAAAACAGCTGTATGATGTAACATCACTGACGGGTCCTAGAACGACAAAGCAGCTGTATGATGCAGTTTGCTTCATTGACTGGCCCTAATGTATCTAACACTAAATTATTAGAAGGTGCTATTCACGTTTGTGTTTTTTGTAGAATTTTTAAGACAGCAGGTGTTGGGCACTTCTGGTGGACTTAAAGTCCCCGAGTTTTGTCGTATTCTGCATAACACGTTTTAATTCATTCGAATAGTGGCACGGTTCAGAATATACACATGTACCTGACGCTTTTCTTAAACTATTATTTGTAAATTACGAAGTTTATGTAATTATGGCGCTGCTGCACCTCCCCGTCTAGATTTTGACTTTCCTTCCGACCAGTTGAGATTTTCCTCAGTTGCCTCCTAGGCTTCAAATTTTACGCCCATAGCATCACTGACGAGTCCTAGAAGGATGAAACAAATGCACGGCGCAGTTTTATCGATTTTTTTAGCTCTGCTGTATCTAACTCTAAATTATTATAAGCCGCATGTGTCTTTTGTACACACTATAAGCTTACGACTGAAAAAGACCAGGAGGTTTGTTGACATGAAATCAGGCAACTTGCATTATTTGAAGATTTATATGATGTAACTTATTCAACATTAGGTATTCGTGATACCCAGAGACAATGTGGTTTGTTAGATATATTACCTGACATGGTTCGTTATCTATGATGCAATTTTAATCATTATTTGGACATGTATCTGATTCTAAATTTGCATTAAAATGTGGAAAGATTGCAGGTGGTAGTCATTACTGGTGAACTTTGTGTGCGATTGACCGTAACCTGCATGGCACGTTCATTCACGTGCACTTAACGCTCTTCAGTAATTATCAGATACATTTGTATATGAAAACTACGAATTTTATCAAATTATTGAGCAGGTGCTCCTCTAGATTATCACATTTCTTTTGACCTACTTAGCTAGAAGGACGAAGCAGCACCATGTTACAGTTTAAATTATCATTGGATTTCATTCTAAATTTGTCCTTCTAAGCTCTTTAGTGATGATAAGAGTCTAAATGTTTGTATCTAAAGCTAAATTATTGAAAGGTTCTATTCACATGTGTCTTTTTTACACACTATAAGCTTACGACTGGGAAAGACCAGGAGGTTTGTTGACATGAAATCAGGCAACTTACATTATTTGAAGATTTATATGATGTAACTTATTCAACATTAGGTATTCGTGATACCCAGAGACAATGTGGTTCGTTAGATATATTACCTGACATGGTTCGTTATCTATGATGCAATTTTAATCATTATTTGGACATGTATCTAATTCTAAATTTGCATTAAAATGTGGAAAGATTGCAGGTGGTAGTCATTACTGGCTACCTTTTTGTTCCCGCGATTGACCGTAACCTGCATGGCACGTTCATTCAGTTAGTGCCACCATTCAGAATATTCACATGTACTTAACGCTCTTCAGTAATTATCAGACATATGAAAACTACGAATTTTATCAAATTATGGGGCAGGTGCTCCTCTAGATTATCACATTTCTTTTGACCTACTTAGCTAGAAGGACGAAGCAGCACCATGTTACAATTTAAATTATCATTGGATTTCATTCTAAATTTGCTATAAAATGTGTTATTCACTTGTCTATCTTTTGTACAATCTTCTACGTTACCAGATGGAAAATATGTTATTCAAAATATTTTAAACTGTGATTTCAAGCTAAATGGATGGAAGGTGTTTTTATAAAAGACACAAAAATGAATAGCACATTTTTTAGACAGTTGTTCATACACTGAATAAAACTGTATCTTACAACTGTTTCGTCCTTCTAGGACTGGTCAGTAACACTTCATCATACAACTGTTTTGTCCTTATAGGACTCGTCAATGATGCTATTTCATGAAACTGTTTCGTCCTTCTAGGGCTTGTCAGTTAAGCTACATTATACAGCTCTTTAGTGATGATAAGAGCCTAAATTTTCAAGACTCGGAGGCGACTGAGGAAAATCTAGTGATACAAAGAAAAGTTTAACTCTAGACAGGGAGGTTCGCTAGCCAAAAGATTAAATAAATTTCGTTATTTTCAAATATTATTTTAAACAACGTAAAGCACATGTGAATATTCTGAATCGTGCAACTTTTGGAATGAATTATAAAGTATTTCGTTATTTGTGATATACAAGTGACAGGATGTAAAAGTGTTTTATCTAACGTAAGTCGTCATTTGTTATTTCCAGGTTACAGGATGGGAGGTATTAATCGATGTGAGTGTATGGGATGTGGGAAACAGGAGCAGATCTACAACTGTGCTGATGTGGCGATCACCCCTAACCCAGGTACAGCCACCTCACAGCCGTTTGGATTCATACCAGTTAAACCTAGTCCTACATTTCTATCGTCGCCCGAGAACCAATCCTATATATTCCGACAAAGACTACGGGAACATCTTCCTGTGTTTCCCTGGCCTAACGGTCTACTTATTCCACATAACATGATGGAGCCATCCTCTACTCTCGGTAGATATGATAGCTCTGAAAACGGACATAGAGAAAATGGCGTCCATACTGGTGTGATCAACAGAATGTTGTTAGATGAATTAAACAATAATACCCCTTTACCAGATATAAAGGGTATCGACTTAAGTCGCTTTCTTCCTGGTATCCTGCCATCCATTAACTTTACTGCTACCTTTAGTCCTCAGCAACGAGGAAATTTTACCGAAACGACATCCTTAAACCGTGTTATCCAATCCAAAACACGACATCTAATGAAATCCACGCCATCTGGTGTTTACATGTCATCTACCACTACTCCAGCAAGTCCAGTCCTGGACTTTAGGAAGTGGAACTTTACAGAATATTCCGCAAAGTCATCACAAAACGACACTAGTCCCACAGACAAGATCAATAACACAGGCTACACATCCGGGGACTCTATCTTATATCCCCTCTTTACACCAACTCAAAAGATTCCTACACTTCCTCCGAGAAATACAACATGTGATGTTATGTCGCCGACTTTTAGATGTAAAGGAATTGGGCAGCATTCTGACACACCTGATATAGAAAACTGGTGTTTGGTGAACTGCAGGGCAGGAAACTGTGTAAAGGACATATGTTTGTGTGGTTGTGGAACCCTCCATGACCCACAACGTCATTTCTGTCACGGTGTTGGGGTGTTCGCAAGTATACCGGGGATGAACACGTGGTGCAGAACTGTATGTGTCAAACAGAGATGTCCTGCTAACATCTGTGATGTCAAAACCTGTCTCACATAGGCTGGCACTTAATACTACTTTGTACCGACTTAGCGTGGTTTTAGATTTTTTTTTTTTCAGGTTCACAAGCATTTCCCCTTCTCAGTGAAATAGATAGTAATTCAAATGAGTCTACTTCAGTGACATTTATCGGGTAGAGGGAATGAAATGCATAATACAATGTTACGTTACCAGTAATAGTAATAAATATAGGTACGAACCTGTTATTGATACCTGTAATAATTACCTGTAATAGATATCTATAATATAGGGTCCTTGATAGACGCTCTTAATTTAATATTGATGTTTATTTATAACTGGCATGCACTATAAAACTGATTCCGTTATGTAAATATGACTTTTTTTAAAATTCAGGACAGCTTAAATGATATTCCGTATAAGAATGATTGAGACGCTCTATTTCCATATTAGTATATTTTATCATGCATTCATGGATTCACACGCATTTCTCGTGACGTCATAACAACTTCATAGTTGACACCAATTATCCATATATAGTGACACCTGGGTCCTAAATAAACACGTCATTGTTCTTGAACGCTTACACCCGATTCTTCGAATTCGTCTCGCCAGGTGTTTATGGTAGAAAACAATAACCAGCTCAATCGAGGCATCCGTCACTTCGTCCCGAAATATGCACTGCACACCAATTTCTACATCTGATCGATCATCTTTGATAGATAAATCTACGCCCAAATATATAGAGACTCATTAATGTCTCAATTTATAACATATTGACCTTCACTCAAATTACTCTTTAACCCCGAGACGATGTCCTATGAAACGTGAATGCACATATACACTGATACCTGCTACTGGTATTACAGTGAATATAGCAAGCGTAATCTAATAAAGACAAAACTATATTGAACTTAATTTTAATACGTTGAACTGGTTCCTCAAGTTTAATGTAAAAGAGGTACTCCCTCTCCAATACTGTTTGGTTGATGAAATGCTTACTGATTAATATAACAATGATACTGCTTTGGTAAGTAAGGAATGTTTATATAAAGGTATGTGTGTTTCTATAAGTTGAACTTATATCGTGTGGCGATTGTATCTAAAGCTTTATTTATTTATTATGTTAAACATACCCTACTATATAATAGTACTGTTGTATCGTGTATCTGTTTATAGTCCAACCAATGTCACGTAAATATCACATAGGGAATACTTTGTTGTCAGTGGGCGAAATATGTGATACGATGTCAATAACTTGTGCCAGGCGAAGACGAAATGTGTGATACGATATCAGTAGCTGATGCCAGGCGAAGGTGAAATATGTGATACGATGTCAATAGCTTGTGTCAGACGAAGGCGAAATATGTGATACGATGTCAATAGCTTGTGTCAGGCGAAGGCGAAATGTGTGATACGATGTCAATAGCTTGTGTCAGGCGAAGGCGAAATGTGTGATGTGTGACGATGTCAATAGCTTGTGTCAGGCGAAGGCGAAATGTGTGATACGATGTCAATAGCTTGTGTCAGGCGAAGGCGAAATGTGTGATACGATGTCAATAGCTTGTGTCAGGCGAAGGCGAAATGTGTGATACGATGTCAATAGCTTGTGTCAGGCGAAGGCGAAATGTGTGATACGATGTCAATAGCTTGTGTCAGGCGAAGGCGATATGTGTGATATGGTATCGATATACGGTCCATGGCGAAGATCTGATTAAGACAATATTAGAATTAATATAGGACTAATATTCTCGAGAAATCACAAAATGACATCAGATATATTAACTTAACAATTAGAGACTAAAATTAAAACATTTTGAATAAGCCTTGTTTTGTTTTACTTTGTTTTCCCTTCTTTTTAAACTTCCAATGAATATTAATGTGATGGTGGTTCAGCAAGTGACTTCTAAAATGCTGTATTTGCTAATTGAACTTAAAATTTTGTGATTGCGCTTACGATTATGTCGTTGTATGTCAAGTACAGGTTTGGCATAAAGACATAATCATAATCCAAATTCATATTCAATTATCTACGGCGCAACATACGGACAAAAGGAAGATTTACACATCAACTGCTGAAACGTAAGCGTCCTCTACTTCATCGACGACACCCGCCATGTAAACCTTGGCCAATCCAAATAGATGTTGTCACGTTCTCAAATGAGAACTAGTTATACAACAACTGAACCAAAAGGCAAACTACTGAACATCAAACACCTCCAGCTTCATATCACACAAGAAATAGAATATTTCTCAATGAGATCACTATGACGATAGTAAAACTTCCCCATAAATTTCAACAACCTGCATCTTTTGATATCCTGTGTTACGAGTTGGTTAGTCAGATGAGTACTTCTAGCACGAAAATCGTGATAATGGAGACAGGCATTTTAATATCGATGCAACTGCCACATGTAAACACCATTGGTTGGCTATGCAGGGCTATTGCTATTCAGAAATGGAAACTTCCCAATAAGGAAAATAACTGATCACGATTATCATACAGCTTGGTGGAAAGCTGTCCATGTTGGTTTCGTTGTAGGAAAATAATGAGATAAGCAGCTGATGTAGAAGTCTGTCTCGTCTTTGATTTCTAACTTTGGTTGGTATATACAATGGATGTGGTCGATAAATTTCTTGTTATTTAAAGACAAGAGGACACCAATATATCTGAAGGTAAAATTAAACGATTTTGCAAGGTCTTTGTTACCTGTTTTGATAAGCTCTTCAATCAATTCAGTCTCGCATAAAAGCCAGAAACAAGTGAGCGGACAGCGTGGCACAGTTAGTTCCCATAGCTATGCCCTCTAGATCTTACCACCAAGCTCGACGAAGATGTTGTCAACCAGGAACTCGATCACCGTTATGATATTGTCCTCAATATATTATTTCTTTGATTCGGAAAAAAAACATTCATAACAAGAGAACAAAGGCTTTGTTTCAGTTTAGAATGGTGTATGACAGTGTATAGGATGGTAAAGTCAAATTTTACTGAAGAAATGTTTGGAAGAGGGTGTTGAGGATGGGCCAATAGCGCTTTGGAGTTCTTTCAAATCCGAATACTAGTATTTTCACTTCTTGAATAAACAGAATCACAATAACACTGATAACCAGTTTTGGTAGTACTCAGAATGGTTGTTAGTAGTTTTGGCAAAGACTCGATTGAACAGCTAGACGAACCAGCAATAAAATATTGTTAATATGGAAATTCTTGTGAAGTTAGGTATCCCATAAAATAACCAACAATGATAAAGTTATTTCATGCCTTGTCTGCAGGCACAATAAGAAACCTTTCATATAAATTTTGAAGTTGTATTTAACAAGCAAGGCTGACCTGTGTTTTCGTTTTTAACTCATCTGGTCCGTCAAAACAACGTCTTCTCAATAACCAATGGACCTAATATTTCGATATTTGGCTGGTATGTTCCTAGGATTAAGCCAACAAAATTTGCGAAAATAAATGACATTGACCTATATTCAAGGTCACAGGTGTCAAATGTCCTTAAACATTTAAACGACTTCTCCTCATGAACTAAAAGCCCAAAAGCATGCTATTTGACTGGTATGTTCCTAGGATGAAGCCCAACAAAGTTTGCAAAAAAGAAACGACATTGACTTAATTCGAGGTCACAGTCGTCAGATTTCTTAAAACCTTTAAATGATTTCTTCACATGAACTTAAAGGACCAGAGGCATGACATTTGACTAATATGTTCATTGAATAAAACCCGACAAAGTTTGCGGAAACTCATGACCGTGACTTTATATTCAAGGTCACAAGGGTCGAATTCTCTGGTATATATTTATATATGCCAGGTGAGCGTTGCAAGCCCATTGGAACTATTGTTTACTCTAGATTTCCAGCTGCAGATTGATGGACCGAATGGATTAACCCACCGAACGCAGCATATTTTCTTTTTACCCGTTTCCAGGCATAGTTCCAACATTATCCATAAGGATCTTAAAATTCATATTCAAATCAACGGACGGGGTTTACGATATTTAAGATCCTTCATGAAAAGCTCTCGTAGCTTAACATTTTGAATAATGCTTAAATTACCACATAGTAATAAATAGAGGTAGAACAAGAACAAGCTGACGGAGGACTAGTTCTAAAGTTATCTACATTAATATATTGCATTGTTTGTTTGTAATTGAAAAGTTCGATGCAATGGGCTTAGAGGAAATTATAGGACGTTACAGAGGGGTTTTTTTCTTGGAAGGTATGGTGGAATGTAAGCCTGAACAGACTTCTGGTGTAAAATATTATATTTATAACATCTGCCCTTAATGTTAATTTGGAGTAATTCATGAAATATACTAAAAGGATAAAGAAACGCAGGGTGAACTTTAAACCAGAAATTAAGTATAATATCGGGCTTCATTTAAAACGAAATTTTGTATATTTACAGATAGATTAAAGCTTAAAAATTTCCAAAGTCTGTATTTTGCATCTGACAATTGGTTAAGAGGTACTAACGATTAAATTGAATGGACCCATAAGATTTTGAAATTGAAATTGAACTGAGTCATCAATATTTTGTGTGTCCGCCGTTCGCTGTGGTCACGGCCCTTTTTCTTCCGGTCATAGAGTTCATGAGAGCGTTAATCCGTCTTATGGGGATGTTGTCCCAGTCTTCAATCAGAGCTCTGGTCAACTGCTCTCGAGTAGCAGGGGGTGGCTGGCGCTTTCGAACCTGTCTATCCAACTGGTCCCAAAGATGCTCGATCGGGGACAAATCAGGGCTATATGGCGGCCAATCTAGTGGTTGAATGTTGTTGTTGGCCAGAAAGACTTGTCAAATCCTTGCTACGTGGGGCCTAGCATTATCCTGCTGGAGAGTTAGATTATGCTGCTGTAAGAAAGGGATAACATGGGGTCGGATGATCTCATCTCTATACTTAGCTGCTGTTAAATTGCCATCAATAACAATCAATTGTGATTTTAACCCGTGTGAGATTCCTTCCCACACCATTACTGAACCGCCCCCAAACCTATCCCTCTCTACAACGCAAGTATCCGTAAAACGTTCTCCACGATGT